TGGCCATTACTAGTACTAAACCCCCCTCACCTAATGATTGATAGAAACACCACTGTGCAGACAACAAGTTTTAATCAGTTAGCAGAGATTATCAGAGATTATCAGAGATTATCAGAGATTATCTGGGAAGTTAAAAAAACAGTTAATTAATGTACTGTAATTTTTTTTGTCCCCAAACCTGAAAATTACTGGAGGAATGTTTAACCGTTTCGATAATTACATTAGTCATGTGACACGCACATTACCCTCGACAACAATCATGTGACATTACAATTATATCGGGTGATGTTTCCTTCGCGGACAATTTAATTAGAGGATTCATCCAACACATGTGATGGAGCATAAATACCAGTTTATAGAACAGTCTGTCAATTTCCTTTACTTTTTTTCTAACGGATCATCTGTCGAACGAACGAATCAGACATTTTGTCCCAGTCACATACAAACGTGACATTGTTCTCCTGGATAACCCGAGCTACTGCACGATGCAGATTAATTCATTTCTAGAAATAGATGAAAAAATAATCCCAGTGAGTATTCGTATTGCCTTTTCATAAATATCGCTGATTGGTCTGAAAAAACAAGATCAGGTTTAAAAATACGTCCTTGCTCACTAGCGTCACATTATTGGAAAACAGTTCGCAGGAAAGAATGTAAAGAAATTGTCTAGGGAAATGCTGGAACTTATCTTTTAGATTTCAAATGGCTGTTTCCGTCCCTCGATAGATCATTTGCATGGCGTTCTCACATCCCCTCACAAACTAAAAGTGTATTTTCTTGTGATTTTACGATACTTTTAAATTATTCCCCTTGGAACGGCAGTTGACATGAATGAGCAACATTATTCATTGCGATAAATTAGAATAACCACTTATTCCGACCGATTGTGGTCTCCGTCGAGAATTTCCCACAATTCCTGATAAAATTTCCTATTCAATAAAGACAACTAGCCTCCGATGACAAATTGACTATGATCGTAATAAAATTTTATGATTGAATTAGGGAATCATGGGATATTGAAATTATCGTAATTTTTCCCTCGTTACTGCGACACATGGCTGTCGGCTGTTTTCATATTCTAGTCCAGTTATAGAATGTTTTAATTCCTCCATATCTAATGTTCCCATCGGAATGGCAGAAATAGAACAAAATATGGAATAAACAGTGAATGAATGAATGAATGAATGAATGAATGAATGAATGAATGAATGAATGAATGAATGAATGAATTTTTACGTCCTACGTTTCTACACCTGATTGGGCAACAAATATGACAAATATTTTGGGAGGGATAGCTGTAAGCTGTATTCAGATTGTTTAGACAGCCTCCTTTCCCATTGTTGTGACAATGATCCAAATTGCATTTTGATTTCCATGGGATTCTTACCCTACTGGAGACCTTGAAGCCTCTCTACATTCATGTTTGTCAACTCAATTCTACATTTCAGAGTTTAATAATAATGACTTTTATGATGTTCCATCTTCCTTTGCAGAAAAAAGTAAAATTTGGTACCAATAAGCCAAATGAGATATGAAAGTGCCAATTTCTGTAATGGATTGGAAAATGGCACCATTAAATGATATCAGTTGTTTTTATTTCTGAATTTATGAGTCTTTTAAAAGCATTTATGTCACATTTCGGTACCCAAGTCAAAGATCAGAGAATCTTTGAGAAAATTTGTAGAGCACTTGAGAAATTTGATTGACAACTCTCGGCTTCATACTATTAATAGTTCTTCAAAAAATCTTATAAAAGATTGCCAAGTCCCTAGCATAGTGCATCTATTTCACAAGGCTTTTTGCTAACCAGGTGTGTTGCCTAGACATTAATCAACACTTTACCGAAAATATTGACAGTATGAACAGAGCTTGAGGGAAAGGCTAAAGAACTATTATTAAGGTATAACTATAAATTGTGTGGTATCTCAACGATTTTTAGTACTTGAGATTCAATGGGGAATTTGATACGTTGGTTCAAGCTAGTATCTTCTTACAAAAAACTCAAAATCTCATCAGCACGGAAAAACACTCTGATGGGAAAACAATACTAATTTAGAAAAAAATTTGATTTATGTCTTAAGAATTTGTGTAAAAACTGTTCTTGTTACTGTTTCTTTTCAATTTTCTTTTCAGTGGTCCTAGACCTTGACAACTAAACTAAATTCTTAATTGTGATAAAAAAATTAATTTCCTACAATATTTAGTTTTAATTTATCTAATCATCATATAATCTTATAAAAATTACATTACAATTTTACTCTTTTTCTGATATTTTCATCTTCATTGTAATCTATCAAGTTTCTACTACAGATGTGTCCAAATGATTTCTTTAACCAATCAACATCATGTAGGATCTGTCTCTTAAAAACAATGAAGAATCATAGAAACCAAAGCAGAGAATATGATAGCCCCGGGCTTTATTAAGTCTTGCCTAACACACACAACATCCCTCTTTTATAATCTTCGAAACTATCAAATCGAAATCAACTTTATGAAAATTCCAAAAAGGACCCTAACTTTAAAATATCTACATGTCAACAAAAATACTAGAAAAGTAAAAAACCTCTTCATCTTAAGTTTAATATTGATTTTGGAATTCCTGCAGTGCCAACGATTCCTGCGACTGAGATAGGATGCCAAGAGTTTCTATCAAGTAGATTAAGACGTTTGATCTAACAAGATAAATATTGTCATTCGCTAAAAAATCTCATCAAATTTTCACTCCATCAATTCAGCGTCAAATCAAGGCTGATTTTGGTGCCAGGCAAATATGGTGATTTCTGTAGAAAGGTTTCAAGAAATGGAGTAGTTTTTACAAGATTGTCGTTCTTATCAAGATATAGTTCTAGATATTTCTTTGTCAATTTGATTCAATATAGCTCTGTATATATTGTTTTGGTACATAGTTTCTGTTGATGATCTCCATTCACAGACAGTTGAAAAAAATAACGTTTCGTGGAAGTATTCTATATAAAAACTACTAAGAATGACAGTATAATATTGGTCAATGTAAAGATTGTGGTCACATGGCATAGGGTCTTAAATTTGTAGAATAATTTGATGTGAATAATATTCATCCCTTAATACTGCGTTCTTTTATTTCCCAAAACACTGAAGATAATTTGGATGGGATTAAGTGACGCTGATTATATCTGGTTTGGTCTTTTACATCAAAGAACATTTTTTTCTGTAAACATATCTAATGACGTTGCTCCTACCCTCACAGCACCCCAGTCCCTTACGCCTGAATATTTGAATCAATTGAATATTATGAAAGCAAAGAAGGCAATCACCGAACTGCAAGGTTTCAATTGGACTGAAAAAAGCCTGTTGAATCAAAATATTGACAACGATTTTCCTTGATTGTCGTTGAAAATTGATAGCCGTAACGACACGACCAATTCAATGGAATAATCTACGCGTCGTAGTGAAGTAGGTTTACTGTATATGGTCGTCTAAACGTTAATTATGCGCTGTGAATACTGGATAATTAGATGATAGTTTAACGATATAATCAATCAACCACCAAATACATCAACAAAACTCAATCACCGCAATTTTATTCTGAATGTCTCTTTGATTACAATGATCATCTATTGACAATATCCACAGGCATTTTCACTCTTATATCCATGATAGATGACAGGCAGAGGAATGAATTAATGAAAGACAGAGGGAATGAATGAATGAATTAATGATAGAGGACAGCAGTAAATGAAAGAATGAGAAAATAAACGCGAGTGAATGAATTTCAGGAAAGGTACATGAATGAATGAATGAATGAATGAATGAATGAATGAATGACGCATTCGCAGTATGGTAGAAAAAGATGATGAAATGAATGAATTTCACAGAGATTAACTGAATGATGAGCCATCCCCCTTTATTTCCTCTATATTAAGGGAATGAGTGAATGAATCAACCATGCCTCTATTGCCTCCATATTTAGAGAGTTCCAACTCTGTCAAGTCCCAATCCTCTGCCATCATCAGCTTAAGTTACAATGACAAGACCAATATGGTTGAATTAACATTGTACAGGATAAAATAAATCCAGAACAAATCCTTTACATTTAATCAATGGCTTGGACAACAATTCAATTCTCTCTAAATAGCCAATCAAATACCAGCTAACAACCTGACAACAGATGAGTTAAGACCATCAATGTAACCTAATCACTGATTGGTCAGTTAAACAACTACTTAAAGCTAATTTCATTGGTTAATTAAACTCAATTGGTCGCTATCAAGGGACTACTTTTTATTATATAACCTAATCACTGCCACTTCTGTTTCTGATGTAATAATGTCCTGTAAGTCTGATGTATTCATCCACCTTATCTAATCTACCAATGACACTGTATTGAGGTTCATATGTATAAACTTTTGGGGGAAATTGATCTCCCAAATATCAAGAAACAACAAGAACAAATCAAATGTGTACACTCTAGATGAAAATTTGGAAAATTTTAGATTTGGAACTGCAAGAGCCATATAGAAACTATAATTTGCATAAAGTTTGCTTATCTCATCTAAAAATATTCCCTGCAGGCTAATGCTTGTGTTAATGCTCAGTATTTCAATGTCTATGTCAAAGTAGAACAATTGGAAGTGATATTATTAAATGAAATAAATCAAATTTACTGCCACAAAAGCATGCACATCTCAAATGAAAATTTGGACGAAAATTTATACAAAGTAGTTTTTTCTTTATTATAGCACAGGACAGGTCAGTACCACCAAAACAAATTATTTATCTTAAAATTAACAAAACATTACTAAGCTAACCAGCACTTGTAAATCAATAGTCCTTGCTTCATACCTCGGCCCGTGCTTTCTGAGAGTTAAATTCTCATTTCACCTTCACACTTTCTTTATAAGAGAATCATATCAAAAATATTTGTGAGTTAGAAATAAGCTGGGAAGTTGTGTTAAAGTTCTTAAATAAAAAATTAAAAGCATAAATATCAAAAGGAAAGTTGAAAGTAAAATGTAACTTACCATGGGTGACCCAACCATGTTTACAAGATTCACAAGTTCTGATACAGGCTTTCTCCGGGGTGAAACATTCACACGTACAGTTAGGGTGGGTACAGCGTATAGCCTGCAAGAAAAAACCATTCTTAGTTGTAGACATGTGTCGCATGAGTCCCTGTAAACAATCCATGTGCAGCGCAGACATTCTGATACGCACATCCGAATACGAAAGAGCAGCACTAAAATTCATTTCACATTTTGTATTTAAAATCTTAATTTCATATTTTCCTCATATTTTTTTTTCTCTAAAAATCCACTTTTATTCAATTATTTATATATCACACTGAATTTTATTATTTATTTGCCAGTCATGTTCAAATAGAATTCAAAAGTGTCCAACGATGTTTTTGTCTTTAGGACATATCACTAAAACACATCAGTTTTTACCTTTTTTATTTCTAATTCCACATAGTCTTTTAAGTATACATTTTGAATTTTGTAAAAGAAATTAGAAATGACAGGATATGAACCCAAGGATTTTATCTTCTATATGAATATAAGAGACTATAACTTCCAACAGGTTACAAAACCTGAGCTAATGAATTACATATTGTTAATTATTCATTCCATATGTAAATTGACTTGTATTCACCTCTTATTAAACTCCCGTTCCAAAATAATATCACTGTGTTTCTTTTGTAAAATTTGTTTGTATCATATTTATCCTCTAGACAAAGCTCTAACTAGAAATTATAAACCCCAAAATCAAAGTTTTTTTAAATATTTTCCAAAGTCAAAAATACAGAATCCTCAAATTTAATCCTTAAATCCAATAATTCACCTCAGTTTTAAATTCCTGTGAAATAATTTCAAAGAAAATGTCAAAAACTTCAGTATTCCAATACATAAATCAAAGTCAACTAAAAAAAATCATTTCGAAAATCAAAATCATTTCGAATCACAGTTCCTCACACAAATCACTAAGATTCTTTATAGCATAAACATAATAAACTTTCTTCTTGAGTTGTCACAACCAATTAACTCAACAATATTAATAAACATGTGTTTTTTCTTAATTAGCTTCTCGTCTGAGCGCATGCTAGTTTTTACATGTTCATTTCACTCACAGTTACGACTTTCTCAATTGATTATTTTTGATGAGCTCCGTAAGTAGAAGAATGTTATAAACTATGATACACCAGTGTTACAGCTCAGTATGTTGTTTACTATAGAAACCAACATTCTATGACATTTAGACCGGCAGTAAAAAATCATGAAATCTGGACAATCATTTCTATTGATCAATTTGTACTGGAAGATTCACTGCAATCTTGCTCCTTGTACGGTGAGTTGTTGGCCTATCTTAAACCAAATCTTTGAATTTACCAATCCTTATGAATCAGTTATCCTGATGAGGATTGTTATATCTGAAACTACATCATCATTTTCATTGATCAAATCAAACAGTAATATTTACTGCTATCAGGCTCACTTAGCTAATATGTCTTATTCTATATGTGATTCCAAATATTTGAATTCAAACCATTATCAATTCAGTCATCCTGATGAGGATTGTTATATCCAAGACACATGTCAGCAGCATAAAAGGAGCTCTTTTTAAAACCACAGTTTATCAAGTCCTGATGATTAGTTGTATGCCCAAAACAAAATGATTTGAGATTCTTTATAAAAATTATAAACTTTTTAACAGGAAATTCTTCTACTGCAGTCAAAAAATAGATATTTAAATATCAAATAATGACCTCAAGACAAATCTACTTTCCACTTTCAACATGAGAATTATAAAATCCAAACTTCACAAAATCACTAATCACTAACTAAAAATCGTATTGCCCGAACCACAAGTTTTTCATGTCATCTGCACGAAACCATCAAACACAATACACAATGTTAGGAATGAAGTAAAACTGTTTACTGTACAGAAGTTATCAAATCTTATGATGAAAATTGATGTAAGAATAACTGCTAGATCAAATCAGAGAAGTTTTGAAAGAATTCCAGAAATTCAGGTTTGAAATCAGTGTTAGAGATATTGGATATCACTCTAAAACAAAGCTTTCATCATAGCATTACACTGGTATTTTTAAATGTAAATTCATAGCTTCTAGTATTCCATATATACAATGGTGTATTGTGAAAATTATTTTTATTTATTTGTAAGTCACTAAATTATACAGTAATGATTTTAAACTTAGCACCTAATAAACTAAGAGGTTTAGTAAAAAATAATTGCAGTGTGTCTTTGATCTGATATCTGACATGCATGATTCACAAAAGATTTGTTAAGCTAAGATTCTTTAAAATGTTTCTGGTAATATCTTCCTTAATATGGGCTCATCACTATCAATATCATTTCTAAAAATATCACAATGTCTCTGTGTCACCAATCAACTATTATCGCAAATAACAACACTTTAGATTCCCCTTTCCAAAGTCGCTATAAAGCTAGTTTGCACTTACATACTTTTACAAAATACTGTACAAAAACTCTCAGTGTTTGACGAAATTATCAGTTTCTTACTCACTATCCTAAATTACTTTAAAGTGTTCAGCTTTTTCACTCACAAATGCAGCATAAAGACCGTGATAAAAACTGTGATAAAACTGTGATAAAAATCTATGTACTCATTTCTTGCTTAATATCCAAAGACTAATTTCAGCCAAAAACTCAAAACTGTGTATTTTATAAGCTTAAGTTTCTTGCTCACTATTCAAAATTTCTTCAAAGCATTGAACTCTGATTTTTTCACTGACTAACATGTAGCATTATCTCAACTGACAAAAAGATTTTGAAACAATTCCAATAATTTGACTGGTGAATATTGACAGATGTTTCTTGTATGATTGTACTGATGAATGAATGAATGAATGAATGAATGAATGAATGAATGAATGAATGAATGAATGAATGATTAAGGGAAGAAATGAATGGACTGAATAAATGACTCAAAATTGTGAAGAAGAATTGGTATTGGTTAACGACTATAGCCTGAGTGAATATTGGGTAAACCATCAAGCTACTTTGATTTTTAACACTTAATCTACACAGTAAAATAAGCTCAGCATGCCCCAGTCGTATCTGATTTCTTGATGTAAGCTTACCTAAAACAAAGTAACATCCTGTTTATGTAAAATTTTCCTTAAGTCTGAAATCAAAATAGAAAATCCAATGTTGCTGTCCTAACATAACTCTCCCCTAATTGCAAATATTATGGTGTGGCCAGTCTATATTATTACTTGCAATGAACTTGACTCCATAGCCGGTGCTTCTGTGGACTGTCTCAGTATCAACTATGTGCAACCATCCTTTAATAAACTCTGTTTAGATACATACATCTGCTTCAAAGCAAAGAATCAATACTTGAAATCAACTTGATGCCCTGGTCATTTCTTCTGTGGACTGTCTCAGCATCAATTGGGTGCAACCATCCTATTAACTCTGTTTGGTTACATAATTCTTCTTCAAAGCAAAGAAATATGACGAGCCTTCGAATCAACTTAAAAAAGTGAAATAAAAAACCTCAGCAACTCATCAGAAAGTTTGATTAAAACGATTATACCCTATTATCACCACAATTGATTGGACAAATAAAAGACATACAAGGGAGATAATTAACGCTTCATGAATTTTTAATCTAATTAATTAACATGAACGATTGTCAAGTAGTGTCCTCGTTTCCCTCGGTTACTCGCCCCGTCTCGGGAGACGGACAATTTGATTAATTAGATGACGATGTAAACTACCGGAGACAATCGGCCATTAAAAGAGCAATTCTCACTAAATACAGCGCACTACAAGACATTTTCCTGTGATGTCAACTAGTCCATCTTTAGACATAAATCATTGGATTGTATTTCAGAATCAATGAGAATTGATGGAATGAATATCAGAAAAAATTTCTTTTTTGAATTTTTTTCACTAAAAGGGAATATTTTGGGAAATATAAGAAAGATAAAATAATTATCAATCATTATTATTGACAGGTTTTGCCCTTTTTGATTTTTAGATTTTTTAAAAAACTGAAGAAACTTTATAAAAGACAGCATCCATCAAATTTAAAAATTACGGTTATTCCAAAAGAAAAACTTGTGAATTGATTCATTCTTACTCAAAATTAAACATTGATTTTAGTTATTGATCATGAAGTAAAATAATTTGCATCATGACAAACTAAAACTTTTTTTGATTGAAAAAAAAAACAACTTGTAAAAAGGTTTGGCATCAATCACGTTTCATGCAAGATGAAGTCATCAAGCTTCCTTGTCTCCAAGAATCCTGAAATTAGAGCTCAATAAATGACAAATCCGTATAAAACATGTGTTTTGTTGGCGACATAAGTTAATGAGAACATTATTAAACATCAAGAAGAATAATCTCCCCTTGTAATCGACTGTTTAATATCGCCACACCAAGAATTCATCAAAAAATATCGTCGCTTCATTAACAGCTAGGTGACAGAGTTTTTCTCACTAAATCATTCAGACATCCTATTCAAATAGCAGATTTTGTAACACTTCGTACTGCGAATTTAATATTCAAAAAGAAAAGACTCCTACCAACTCTTTGACAGACATCTTAATCAAGGATAAAGGATGGTCTTATGTACAAGAGCTTGTTATTTAAAAGATTATCGTTTTTGTTGCCAAGCCTTTCAAATTCTGGCTAGAAAGGTGCCTATTTTGCAATCACTCAAGGATAAAGGATAGTCTTATATGCCAGAGTTTGTCATTCAAAATATTGTCAAAATGTGCTCTTTACAAAAATCCATCAAATTTTCAGTCCAAATTGTTCTCGCGATCCAACACTCTTAATCAACTCAACAACCACAAATTTCATTCTCTCAAAAATCACACAAAAATATTGGAAAGTTATTTTCATTAGGATGTAATATTTCATTTGGAGCATGAATTGATCTTTGTAGAAATATCTTCTCTAAATTTGTCCATGTGATTATGTCCATATTTGTAGTTGTCAAGCAGTGAGAAATGACGTCTGCAATGTAAAATTGGCGGGAAACATTAATCTTACAGACGTGATATTAACTTGCTCTGACTAAATTCCTACTTCCAATTATTAAATTGACAAATTACTAGTGTAGGAATACAATATCTAAAACCGAGGCAGAGACGATTTACAAC